ATATATATATGAATTAATATAGGGGGCTTGAAAAGGTTCATGAAAAAACACAATTAAAAGATGGTGGCTGGTGGTTATGTGCCGTGGAGTAGGTTCCAACTCATAGCGGCCCTGTATAGGGTTTCCAAGGGTGTAAATCTTTATGGGAGCAGAAAACCTCGTCTTTCTTCTGAGGAACAGTGGGTAGTTTTGAACTGCTGACCTTGAAGTTAGCAGCCCGACTTGTAACCACTACGCTACCAGAGCTCCGTAATGAAAAGATAATGATACCTAAAAGGGGTTCTAGAACTTGCCCAGGGAGAAAGGCTTCTTGTGGAGCCTTTGTAGTGTACAGGACATTTTGTGGAATCCCGAGCCCCATCTGGAACTTTCTGAGGTGGGATATCCCCACTTGAAAGGACATGCAGATCAGCCTAGAACAGTTAAAGGAACAGAAGATACTTCCTGAAAGAAAGACCAGCAGGAAAAATCCAAAATAAAAATGGCAGTCTGATTGGCTACTACAAGTACAAACAAGTTGTTCGTAGGAAAGCCATCAAGGCAAGCAATCAAGTGCCTTCAGGACAAACCCCCCTCCAAGACTGAAACTCAAAGGGAACACATGAGCAGGCATGTAAGCTTGTTGATGACCACCACATTGGTCTACTGGTGAGTGGAAGAGGGGGAAAGGCAGCAATGAAGAAATGGGTTGAGTTCGACCATGTTCCATAGACTCCCGTTGACCTGGAGATGAGAGAGAGAGAAAGGAAGTGCTGGTTGGTCCGAAGTATAGTGAGACCTGAGGACTCCTAAGCCCATGGACAAGGACATAGCCACAGAGGAGGGCTAGAGCCAAGAGTGAAGTGTCCAGCTGATATGAAGTGAGGGGAGACACACAAGAATATCCAAACTTGCAGATAGTAGCCATTTGACCTAGCTTCAATGGCTTGATGATCAGAACTTGAATAGAGGAAGATAAAGAAATTTGATAAAGGAAACAAGTGTAAATTGCTACAATTTGGTGAACTTGACCTATACTTATTATGGATGTAGTAGCTCAAAATATCAACCTAGAGGGAAGGAGTCTTCACATCAAGGATCAATCCTATTCCCTCTGTACATAGGGTTGATACGGATGGACAATGTAGGCATTGGCTACCTAAAATGGGGGCAGGGGGTGCTACATAAAGGCATGAAGTGCTGGCTTACAAGTTTTCAAGAAGGAGTTTAGTTTCAGAGTGTGGGAGAAGGTAGAATCCCCACTTAAAAGTTTTCATCTTGTCTAGATGGGTCTGGTGAAAGAGATGGGGATAAGATTCTCATGATTCAATACAGTAATTGTTATCATGACTAATTGTGATTGTCACAACTGTAAAGGCAGACATTTTGTAACATAAAGTGAATAGTTAATCTTACAGTCCAGGAACAGAGGACCCTAGGACCATCAAGGGAGAAGCACATGAGTGGAATGTGGGACCCTATCCAGAGAAGCAGAGACACCAGAGATGGAAGCAGAGATGATGACATTGAGAGATAGAGCAGCTAAGGACTTTAGACTCATGGAAAGAGAAAGACTGTGTGCTGGCAGCCAAGAGGCAGGTTTGCAGAATGTGCCCTTTGGTTGTTTAAATGATTATACATTCCTGAACGTTTTTGTGTACATTACAAAAAGAGATAAAGAAAAAACAGAGGGACTAGAAGAAAATACTGTTGAATGATAATGCATGCAGGGGATTATAATCATTGTAATGATATGAAATACAATAGGATAAATGCAAAATTAATGTTCTCCCATGTAAACTATCACTCAATGCACAATAAAAGCTTTAAAAAAAAAGATAATGAAAATTTCCAGGGACTTTTCAAAGCCCCCTCGCATGTGTGTGTGTTTGAAAACAAAGAGTCCTTCCTTACTTGAAGCAGAAAAATCCGGGTATCTTGGCAGCAGCCCATCATGCTGTAGGACTTTCAGAGGAGGAACAGGAGGAGGCTGGGTGGAGCTGACCCCAGTGAATCTAAAGAGAGAACAAAAGCTGCCGTGGTATTCCTTTGTACTCCTTCCTAATAACCAGAAGAAGAAATGTAACTTATGCAGGTCTCATCAAGCAAGCTAGGTTTAGTTCTAATCTTCACACCTGTCCTAGAGGTAGAGATTATCCTCCCCATTTTACAGAAGAGAAAACTGAGGCCCCAGAAGCCATCGGAAACAGTGTCCTTACGTCTCCTGCCACACCAGTACCCTTGGACCTTGGGCTGCTTCCAGATCCCCATTGCTCTGGCTGCTGCACCTGATTCCCAGCCCCTCCCTGCAGTCCAGCAAAGAGCACAGACAGGGCTACGGGGTGCAGGTGGGGTGGTGGTGGTCCATAAGGCACCTTCTATAAAACAGATCGACTGACACCACCAATGGACTCAGACGTAACAGCAAAGTGAGGATGGCGCAGGATTGGACGTTTTCTTCTGCTGTGCATAGGGTCACTATGGGTCAGAACAGACTCGATGGCACCTAACAACAACATAAAACACAGCAAACACAAAAACTATCTCTACCTTGGATTCCAGACATCTGGTAAACCCCTGGTTCTGGTTCTGCTCTTCTTCCTGTTCTTGTTACCTATGCTTACAAGCTGAGCAAGACTTACTCCTCATAGGTTTTCAGACGGGCTCTCTTGGTCTGCTCCATGGAACCCAGGAAATCCCTGTAGCAGTTTCGGGCCATGACAGTGTACCGCGTGGCGCAGCCAAATTCAGTGACCCTGGCTCTGGGTAGGTAGCCTGCCCAGCCAGGGATTGGTGGCTCCTCCAGGGGTTTCTTTATGTATTTGCATTCTGTAAACACAGCAGGTAGTGTTCCCATGTTAGCTAGCACCCCACACCTAAAGGTGGGATCAGGGTGGTTACTATTGGCTCACGAATCTATGTGCCGGGTACTTTGGCTGTTATGTGCCGTGGAGTCAGTTCTGATTCATAGCGACACATTGGTAGGAGCTATAAAATATACCACACATCACTGAATTTTCTCACAAACCATAGAGATTGGTAATACCATCACTAGCTTCCCCCTTTCTCCCCATCCCCACCCCCAGCACCTTTTCTTATTTTGAGAAAGCGACTGAGACTTTAGAATGGTTAAAACTTAGCCAAGGTCATTGTCATCAGAAGGTGGTTCCCTAGTCCTCGCTCCTAAACGTACCTTGCTTCTCTTTCAGATTAATGAAAAACTTCAAACATTGCTCTGTGACCGTTTACACAGGGAATCAGAAAATGGGTTAGGAGCCCAGATATCAGAGTCAGCTTCAGGGACTCCCATTCTGCTGGCTGTGTAAGCGTGGACACGTCACTTTGTCTTTGAGATGCAGTTTTACATTTGTGAGAGCCGTGGGTACTGAGCCATCAGCTGCTCCAGCAGCTCTATCGATCAAACTAGACCATGGAGTCTCTGAACATTAGAGCCAGAAGGGACCCCAGGATGCTTCTAGTTCAACTTTCACTGTCCTGGCTGAAGAAAGTGGAGCCCAGAGAGGGAAAGTGACCTGACTTAGGTCACACAGCAAGTGGTTGCCAAGTGGTTAAATCTCAAACTCTTGGGAGAATGTCATTTCTAATGGCTTGGAAATTTTTAAAGCATAGTAAACATTTGTTGTTGTTGTTGTTAAGTGTCAAGTCAGTTCCAAATCCTGACCCTGTAGAGGATTTCCAAGGAGTGACTGGTGGGTTTGAACTGCCGACATTGTGCTTAGCAGTTTAGTGCTTATCCTAAGTTATAGATTCTTGAAAATGTTCATTTTAAACACGATAACAACAACATTAGTAATCAACATTCCTTCTCCTATGGGTATTTAGATCTTAAAAATTATCTAGATCAAAACACTGCTTGATAAATAGTAGAGAGCATAGGTGTTGTTGTTGTTATTGTCAAGTGTTGTTGTCAAGTTGTAGGATTCCAAGGGGCAGTTGGTGGGTTAGAACTACCAATCTTGTGGTTCATAGTTCAGTGTTGATCCTACAAAGCCACATCAGAAGATAGCATAGGTTTTTGTTGCCTTGAAATTATTAACATTATATGAGGTTTCCAAAAGTTCGTGGAAAAGTGAAATTGAAAGATAACAGACTTTTTCTATAAACTTTCTGAAGTTTCCTCCTCCATGGTGGTTGTGTGCCGTGGAGTCAGTTCCAACTCATAGAGACCCTGTACAGGGTTTTTGAGGCTATAAATCTTTACGGGAACAGAAAGCCTCATCTTTCTCCCACAGAACAGCTGGTAGTTTCCAACTGCTGACTCTGAGGTGAGCAGCCCGATTTGTAACCACTACGCTACCAGAGCTCCTTCCCCCTCCATAGAATCGTATTATTAAATGCCATTGTTACTCTTTTTGGGATTATTATTTAGTGGCAGGTCACCAGCCCAGGAACTGGGTTCAAACCCAGGGCTGACATCAAAGCCCATGCTCCAGCCTGACCTCTTGGCGCCTCATTTCTCCCATCTGTAAAGTTGGAATAGCAGCATTGGTCTCATAAGGTAATTGTAGGCAGTAAATGAAATAATGGTGCCCAGCACAGACCAAGCAACTGAAAAACAAAACTTGCTGGTACGGAAGCTGATGCCAGAAGGTTTGTGCGGCTTACTCAGGGATTCCTGGTCCCCAACTATCACCTCTTCCCCGACCAGTGCATCTGCCCCGCAGGATGTGATTCCTCCTCACTCCTGGGGATTTGGAACTGTGCTGGATTAGTGTTCTCTGGAGTCTTTGGAGTTTGGGTGTTGTAGGATAAGCACTGCACTTCAAACCACAAGGTTGGCGGTTCAAACCCACCAACTGCTCCAGGGGAAGGAAAAGCCTTTCTGCTCCTGTATAGATGCACAACCTTGGAAACCCTATCCAGGGTCCCTATGAGTTGGAATCGACATGATGTCAGTGGGTTTGATTTTGCTTGGAGTCTCTGGATGGTACAACCAGTTAACACACTAACTGAAAGGTTCGAAGTTCAAGTCCACCCAGCGACACCTTGGAAGAAAGGCTGCTGATCTACTTCTGAAAGATCAGCCAATGGAAATCCTATGGGGCACAGTTCTGTTTCACACACACAAGGGGGTCACCATGTTGGTATTAACACAACAGCAACTAACTTGGACCAGGACTGGGGGGAGAGGCTAGTTTCAGGGTATGGTACCGAGACTCATGGGATGATGCTGCTGATAATACTGATGCAGGGCTCGAAGGACCGACTCCTGAGAGCAGATGGGCTTCAGTCTTGGGGCAGCGGCCACTGCACAGTGAAATTCCTGCAGCTGGTTTTTATATCTCCGTGTGTTCTCCTGGAAGGTCTCCACACACTTGAACATGTTGTCCTCACTGGGGGTGCCCTGGCAGCTGAGGAATGGCACGAAGCCTGCAAGAGCCAACAGAACCATCATCCTCAAATATCAAGGCCTGCAGCAAGGAACGCAGAGCCTGCCTCAACACCGCGGACTGTCGGCCCACTGCTTGGCATTTCTTTTCAGCCAACAACGTTGTACTTTTCCAAAGGCCTTTACTACAAACAAGGCTGTTGTTTCCACTACGTCTGGGCCCTCCCAAGGCCACCAGAAACGACCTTGGGGTTGGGGAGGGAAGGCCCATTTCAACAAAGGCGATGACAGTAATATTCTTTGATAGCAAAGCCCCCAATGTCAGTGGGAACGGCAAATGGGGAAAGCGCTTAATGGGCCCAAATGATAGTCTAAGGAGTAATTGAAATTATTCATCTTTTTAGAGAGAATGTGTATTTTCCCTGACACTTCCCAAATGCAATTTTGGATCTTTCTTGTCGGACCATCAGAAAATTGCGGGCTTATTAAAAGCAGAGAGCTATTCCACAAAAAGGTAAATTCATTATCTGCCAAACCCACCCCTCAAACAATTTTTCACCATTTCCCTCAAAATAGTGTATAATCATCACAATTAGTATGGGTAAAACGTATTTACTTAAACTGAATGTTGAATCCTAAAGTATTATAATATTGTCACAATAAAACCATTTTTTATGAAAGAACAGATGAGGGAAAACTGGTTAAGAACTTGTTTTTAAATTGTAAATAATAATAATAATAAATCTCTTACTACTAAATGGCTCTTTTCTTTTTTGCCGTTGTCTTATGTAAAGAAAACTGGGTTTCCCAGCTGAGTACAGCAACTCCACCCTCTGAGCCCCAACCTGCACTGGTCACATCTGGAAGAATCGAAGTGCTGGGCTGATCTTTGATCTTAATGATATTGGGAATCTTCCACTTACCATCCAGTCTCCCCTACCTTTGGATAGTTCAGAGCCTTAGTGGTGTAATAGCTTAAGCATTGGACTGCGAACCACAAGATCGGGGCTTCAAATCCACCAGCCCCTCCACAGGAGAAAGATGAGGCTTTCTGTTCTCAGAAACCCTAAGGAGTTCTACACTGTCCACTCGGATCACTGTGAGTCGAGACTGGATAGTAGTGGGGTTGGGTTTTGGTGGTACAGTGGTTAAAGCACTCTGTGACTAACGGAAAGACTGGCAGTTTGAACCCACCAGCCGCTACATAACAAAGATGTGGCAGTCGGCTTTTGTGAAGATTTACAGCCTCGGGAAGCTGTGGAGCAGTTCTGCTCCGTCCTATAAAGCCATTCGGTATTGTTACTGACTCACTGGCAGCAGGGTAAGGTCATGCCGGAGTCCTGGTGTTGTAGATGTCTACAACACACTGGGCTGCTGACCAGAAAGGTTGGAAATGGGAGTCCAGCCGGTGGTGCCTTAAGAAAGTTCTGGCAATCAACTTCCAAAAAAATCAGTCATTGAAAACCCTGTGGAGTACAGCTCTACTCTGAGACGAAGGGGTTTCAATCACAAAGTTCTTGGAATCATTCCATTGTCTTTAATTCCATTTGTCCATGAACTTTTTGTAGCCCCTAGTACCACATGGGGTCACCCTGTGTCAGAATCAACTAAGTGGAAACGGAAACTGTTTTATTATTATTATTATTATTACTGTTCTGGAGGCACACTGTAGAATCCCAGGGACCCTCCCACAGTGGTGTCACAGACCTAATTTGATCAGCTGCTGATATTCATAAGGTTTTCAGTGACTAAATATTCAGAAGTAGTTCATCTCTCCTTCTTCCTAGTCTGTCTTAGTCTGGACACTCCACTGAAACCTGTCCATCATGGGTAACCCTGCTGGTATTTAAAATCCCGGTGTCATAGCTTCCAGAATCACAGCACCATGCATCACCACAGGAAGAGCAGCAGCACATTATCAGATCCAGTGCTGGAAGATAACATTATGGATCATATCAGAATATTGTCAGATCCAGTGCTAGAAGATAACATTATGGATCATATCAGAACATTGTCAGATCCAGTGCTAGAAGATAACATTATGGATCATATCAGAATATTGTCAGATACAGTGCTGGAAGATATCATTATGGATCATATCAGAACATTGTCAGATCCAGTGCTGAAAGATGAACACTATATCTAACACAATTCTGTTGTTATCTCAGGTTAAAAGGAACTCAAAATATGACTGGAAAAGAGCTGTCTCCTCAAAGTACAGTTGACTGTGATGAAGCAAATGGTATAAAGCTTTCAGGACCTTCATTTGCTGATTGGGGCATACCTCAAAATGAGGAGAAACAGCTATAAACATTTATTGGAACATGGGAATTTATGAAGTATGAATCTAAGAAAATTGAAAGTTGTCAAAAATGAAATGGAACATGTAAACATTTATATCCTGGGCATTTGAGAGATGAAATGGACTGGGATTGCCCATTTTGAATCAGACAATCCTGTAGGCTGGGAACCACAAGTGAAGAGGAATGGATTCATATTCATTATCAAAAAGACTGCTTCACCTCCTCCACACACAGAGTGGACAGAGAAGGGCAACTAGGACATTGGATACTCAAATGGGGAGAGGGGGACTACAAAGGCAAGAAGTGACTGGCTTACAAGCTTTCAAAAGGGAACCTAGTGCTAGGGAGCATGGAGGAAGGCAAAATCTCCACTGGGTACAATTCAATATTTCTGGGCAGAACTGATGAAAAGAAATATTGATGGGTAACTCATGATACTGCAGTGAATAATGCTTATCAGAATGGAGTGTGAGGGTTGGAAATGCAAAGGTAGACGTTTTGTAACAAGGAAGGGAGTGATTAATTCTCCAGGGTAGGAGCGGAGATCTCTGGGACCATCAAAGGAGAAGAGCCGAGAGCGGGACCCCAGAGAGACAGAGATGCCTGAGATAGAGACAGAGACGATGACATGGAGTGATGCAGCAGCGGAGGACTTTGGATTCAGAGAGGGAAAGGGACTGTGGGCCGAAAACTGGCGGGGGATGGGGGGGGGGGAGGGTAGGAGGTGGATTTCTAAGATATACACTTTGGTTGGTTGATGATGCATGGAGGGGATTGGAACCATGGCAATGAGATGATATATGATGGAATGAATGTAAAACTAAAGCTCTCTCATGTAAACTATCATATAATTCACAATAAAACATTTAAAAAAAAAAAAAAAAAAAGGTTGAACAGGAGAACAAACAAGATCCTGAAGCCAATGCTGTCTGAGATAGGATAATATCTATACACCTAAAATGAAGACCAGTCAATACTACTATTCTTCAAATGTACGCACCAACCACTAAAGCCAGTGAGGATGAAATTGAAGAATTCTATCAACTTCTTCAGTCTGACATTGATCAAACATGCAATCAAGATGTATCGATAATTACTGGGGTTTGAAATGTGAAGGTTGAAAACAAAGAGGAAGGATCAGTAGTTGGAAAAGCCCTTCGTGATGGAATTGATGCCGGACATCACAAGATAGAATTTTTAAACAATATAAAAGGTGACGATACACATGGACCTCAACGGATGGAATACACCAAAATCAAATTGACTATATCTGTGGGAAGAAACAGCAGAAAAGCTCAATATTAACAGTCAAAACAAGGTCAGGGACAGACTGTGGAACAGACTACCAATTGCTTATATGCAAATTTAGGTTGAAGCTAAAAAAAAAAAAAATTAAAACAAGTCTACGAGAGCCAAAATATGACCTTGAACATATTCCACCTGAATTGAGAGAACATCTTAAGAACAGATTTGATACATTAGACACTAATGACTGAAGACCAGAAAAGCTATGGGATGACATCAAGAACATCAACCAGGAAGAAGACTAAAGTCATTAAAAAGACAGGAAAAAAGAAAAGACCCAAATGGATGTCAGAAGAGACCTTGAAATTTGCTCTCCAGCATAGAAATGCTAAAGTAAATGGAAGAAATGAGGAAGTCAAAGAGATAAACAGAAAATTTCAAAGGGCAACTTGAGAAGACAAAGTAAAGTATTATAACAAAATGTGCAAAGAAAAGACCTGGAGTCAGAAAACTGAAAGAGAAGGGCATGCTCAGCATTTCAATCAAAAATGGCTGCAATCATACGTTGACAGAGAATTGCCAGAGAGTCAAGCCAGATTTTCAGAAGAGGACACAGAACTAGAGATATTGTTAGATAGATCTTAGCTTAAAGCAAAGAATAACAGAAAGACATGTAGTTGTACGTTATTGACAATGTAAACACATTCAACTGTATGGATCATGACAAGCTATGAATAACATTGCAAAGAATGTGTATTCCCAAACGTTTCATTGTGCTCATAAGGAACCTGTACATAGACTAAGAGGCAGCTGTTAGAACAGAACAAGGGGATACTGAACGGTTTAAAATCAGGAAAGGTGCACTCCAGGGTTGTATTCTTTCACCATAATCAGTCTGTATGCTGAGCAAACAATCCAAGAAACTGGATTAATGTGAAGAAGAACTTGACATCAAGATTGAAGGAAGGTTCATTAACAACCTGCATATGTTTTGCTTGCTGAAAATGAAGAGGATTTAAAATACTTACTGATACAGATGAAAGATTCTAGCCTTCAGTATAGGTTGTACTTCAATGTAAAGAAAACAAAAATCCTCACAACTGGACCAATAAATAGCATGTTAAATGGAGAACAGATTGAAGTCGTCAAAAACTTCATTTTGCTTGGGTCCACTATCAACACTCAGCTGCCAAGAAATCAAACATCTTGCATTAAGTAAATCTGCTGCAAAAGACCTCTTTAAAACGTTGAAGAGCAAAAGTTCAGTTTGAGGACTAAGGTGCGCCTGACCCAAACCATGGTATTTTCAATCACCTTATACACATGTGAAAAATGGACAGTGAATAAGGAAGGCTCTACTGATGCATCTGAGTTGTGGTGTTGGAGAAGAATTTTGAAGGTACCATGGACTGTTAGAAGAAAAAACAGGTCTGTGTAAGTATAGCTGGAGTGCTCCTTAGAAGCCAGGATGGTGAGCCTTTGTCTCTCATACTTCGGACCTGTTATCAGGAGGGACCAGTCCCTGGGAAGAACACGATGCTTGGTAAAGTGAACGGTCAGTGGAAAAGAGGAAGACCCCCAACGAGATGGATTGACACAGTGGCAGTAGCAGTGGGCTCCAGCTTAATAAATGTGAGGATAGTACAGGCCCAGGTCATTATGAGTCAGAACTGACCCACAGGCACCTAAGAACGACAACTTTGGTCGTTTGGTCTGCCTTTAGATTTGATATAATCCTATATATGCAAATCACCTATAGGAAGACAAACTACCTTACTGAATCTTGCTAAAGGAATTGTACATAGGTTGTGTAGGCTGGCTTCTTCAATCCTCACAACCATCTTATTAGGAAACTACCCTTAACTCTGTAAGTTGTTAAGTGCCATAGAGTCAGTTCTGACTCATAGCGACTCTGTATAGGGTTTCCGACCTTATTTGGAATGAGGATCTTTGCAGATGTAATCAAGTTAGGAACCTTGAGATGAGATCATCCTGGATTTAGAGTGGGCCTTAAACTCAATGACTGGTGTCCTTAAAGAGACAGGAAGGGGATCTGGGACACACTGTCAGACACTAGCGGGGAGGGAGGTCAGGCGAACACCCAGGTAAAGATCCAGGCAGAGACTAGAATGATGTCTGCGGAGCAGCAAATTACTTGGTGTGGCTCTTCTAGCCACGGTCTTTGTAACTCCCATCAACGACTCTCTGAGGTCATGCAGACTATATGTCTTTCCAGTTTTCCTGATAGTTCTGGGTAAGAGAAGGTGGGAGAAGACGCTGATAGGATTATAGGGCTCAGTTGTGAATGATTTAACTGGATTTACTGTTCCATAAAATCTTGGTCCATTTGGCCATCTCACTGGGTATAAAATGAGCCATCTCAGAAGCAGGAGGGAATAATGTCACTGCCATCAAGAAAGAAGAGCTGGGAGTGGATCACGTCCTTTGGACCTTAATCCCTACACACTGAATTTCCTCCATCCAGGGGGATATACTGTCAGAAGGGAACAGTCACTGGAGAAGGATGTCATGCTGGGTAAGATGGAGGATCAGAGAAAAAGAGGAAGACCCCCAAAGAGATGGATCAGCCAGGTGGCATCACTGATGGTGTCAAGTGTGGCAGTGGTAGTGAGTTTGGCCCAGGATCAGACATTGTTTTGTTCTGCTGTGCATGGAGTCTCTACGAGTCAGTTCCCACTCGATGGCATCTAACAACAACAACAACAACAACACAGGAGCAGAAAACTGGGACACCAGAGGAGTGGCGGCAGCAGAGCAAGAGCCAGACCATGAAACTGAGTGGTGGGCTTCCCAGCCCACAGAGCAAATGAAGCTGAGCGCCTTCAGGTAGGAAGCTTGCTTATGAGTGAGGTGACTTGAGGCACTTAATCTGGAGAATTAAGTTTGCCGACCCAGGGAGCTAAAGCTGAGTGACTTTGGGCTGAGGTGTATGGTAGAATGCCCTTTGGGCACTTATCAGCAGCCCTAAAAGAGCTTTGTAACGTTGCCAGAGTAAGGCAGAGGCCAAGAGACCTAATGGCTCGGAAGGAGCTGTCCCGACAAAAAACTGTGTCTTGAGCATTTCTGATTCTGAATTGCTACTTATTAGCTCCCCTAATAAAGTTCATGATTGTGAATATTGTCTATGAGTTCTGTGTGGCTACTGCAATGAATGATCAAACCCAGCAGAGAAGTAGGGAGTGCCTTGGGATGGACAGTTGGTATCCAAATTGGCAAATGTGGGAACATGGCTGACCTCCACCTCACAGGAATCAGCTTGGACTGATGTTAATGGTGGTTCTATTCCTTCTCCCTGGTGAAGCCAGTGAACATCAGATGCCCCATCTATGGTATTTTTGCAAGTGCCATGTAGCAGATCCAACCTCAGAGCCTTCAGAAGGAATCAACTCTTAATTTAGACTCTGGCTTCCAGACTATCTATCTATCTATCTATCTATCTATCTATCTATCTATCTATC